GTGTTTCTGGACATAAATTTTTATGATGTTATAACTAACAGCAGTCATAACATATGTAGCTCGAAAATCACAGAAACAGGCAAAAGTAACTAGTGATGACATCTGTTTGTGGTCAGTCTCCACACCGTGCTACAGGCAGAGCGGACGTGGAGGAGGATTACAGTTGGAGGACAGCTGGCGGACTATGGCGTGGTTGCAGAAGGAGTGAGTCCTGGTCTTTGTGCGTGGAGGTGGAGGAGGAGGAGGAAGGGCAGGGGGAAGGGAAGGAAGAGGAGAGCGGAAAGATGGTTTTTGGAGTGGAGGCAGAGGAGTACGGGGAGGCTGGAAGATGAAGACAGGGGAAGAAGGGGAAGACAGCGGGGAGGAGACGGTGGACATGGTGGAGGGGGAAGTAGGGGAGACTGGTTCGAAACCAGAGAGCGAAGAGGAAGAACCTGAGACTTAAAAAGGAGGAAATAAAACAGAAATGAGTGAAATTAATGAAGGATTAAAGAAAGGATAGAAACAAAAAGACCTTTTCTCAAACAACATTTTTTAAAATGCTCCCATTTTTTAAAGTTTATACATTAAGTTAAAAGAAATCAGATTCTTTTATAGACTTTTCCCTCTATCATCTGTAAAAAAGACATCAGGATGACCATTAGATGAGAGAGAATAATTAAACAAGTTTGACTCCACGTTTACTGATGAACGCTGAGCACGTAGATTTCAGGTGTCTGTACCTACCAGTCTCAGGGTCACTGAAGTCAGGCAGGGTCATAGCGTTGAGCTGTCGCCTGTCTGCTATGGCTCTATCCAACAGACTGCTGCCACGCCCCGAATCACTGCCACGAAACACACGTGGATGTAAACAAAGGGAAAAAGCACATCCGCACGCATGCAAGTACACACACACACACACACACACACGGCCTGGGATTGAGCTGCTGAGCAAGCATGACCTCCAAAACAAGGAGATAAAGCATTTTAGTGCCTTGGTTATCTTTTGTTTTCTTAGTTAGATCAAGCTTCAAGGGAACTGTGTTATTAATGAAGAGACAACGACTCATTGCCAGTTATTCAAATGCTTGATTGCAGCTCTTGCTGCCAAGGATGGCACAACCAGTTATTAGATTTAGAGGGCGAAGAGTTTTTCACACAGGAACAGGCAGGTTTGGGTTGGTTTTTCCCCACTTAATAAATGAAATAATTTTAAAAGTGCATTTTGTATTTACTCTGGTTATGTTTATCTTGTATTAAATTCTGTTTGATGATTGAAACATTTAAATGGGACAAATGCACACAGACAAAAAAAACAAAGAAATTAGGCATATTACTAGCATTGGCTAACATTAGCCAGAAAAAAAGATGGCTTAAAGTGATCTGTAGTCCTGAAAACTATGAATTAAATGCCATATGTAAAGCCACATCAGTGTTTCCTTTTTCTTTTGTGTTCCTGTTGTGCCTGTTTGTTGACATTAGTGATTAGTGGACACCATTCATAAGCTAATGTTAACTTCCTCACTGTTGGCACTGGGAGCGGCACTCAGGAGCGGGCGTAAATGCCACATCCTTTGGATATTTGCAGAAAATTCCCAAGTTCTTCCCAAAGAAGTCACTCCACAGACTGTCAGAATCAACAGAGAGAGTCGGGGAAGGTCTTATATTTCATAATTATGCTATAATCCATTCAGAAAATTTGCAAAAAGAAGCGTGTAAAACATTTTTTAAAATAAATAAATTTTTTTTTTACTAAATGCACATTTAATTAGGGCAAGAGTTGCAGGATCATAAATATAAACTAATACCAGCTTGTGTTTTCACATAGTGAGGTTTTGATTAAAATTAAAAACAAACCTAACATCAGGTTAACATAAACAGTAAACTTTATTTACTGTTTATGTTATTAACTAATATTTGTCCACAGAAGCTATTTAGTACACATCACCAAACATGCCTGGAATTATAGCATTTTTAAATGCCAAGACCATTAGAATGAATTAAATGCTTCTCCATGAAAGTGCTCAGTTGGTAGTTCAGTGTAATCCAGTCTTCACAAAGTTAGAGTCTTAAATTCTTTTTAAAAGTCTTAAAAATGTTACATTTGGTGGCCAGATCCTTCAAGGTAGTCTCCTTGCACACCTCTGCACCTATCTCAGAGCTCCACACCGGTCCCATTATGACCACACGAAGGTGCTTATTTAGGACGAGGGCTGCATCTTCAGATCTTCACAGCAGCGACCCGTCAACCTTAATATTATTTTGGAATAGAGGTCAAAGCCGCAGGGAGCTCAATCTCAAGAGTAGGAGAAATGAGAAATCATAGCCACCTGCCTCGGTTACAAATGCTCTCCCTCCAACTCCTCAAGACATTAGATTAGACGCCCAGTTTTACCCTGGGGGATGACATCATGGTGCTCAACATCTGATGCACTTTGTTTGGTTTTAAACCGCTGATCACAAGTAAAAATCTGGAAGTATATTACCTTAAAGGGGATAGTAACATTTAAATCAGGTATAGTTATTGTTTTTTTATTGGCACCATATCTTAATTATTTAAAATAAAAGCAAACAAATAAAAAAGATCAAACTCTTTGTTTTGTTACGGCACCAGAAACAAGAGAAGCAGTGATTCTCAAAATTTAAGGGACTATAAAAAGGAAACAACAATAAAACAAAGCCATGTGATTTGAACCATATGTTATTGTTCATTTATCTGACCAAATAATAACTATTTTATTCCTCTTGACTTTGGCGGAGCCGTTATTGGATAATCATCATCAAAAATCAAAATTGGAACACACTGAATATTAAAAGGACGACTCACAGAAAGCGAGTACCTCCCACTGTGACTTTACTCCCATGTGCAGTGTTTTTCTTAAGTTTGGGAGGGGCTGACATAGAGCAGAGGGGTTTTTTGGGGACATTTACTGGTTTTGCTAGAACACATGACACCAATCCTGCCTTCTAGCCACAGGCTCCGTGTTTTGTGATATTTATGTATGACTTGAACATTTCATCGATCTTTAGATCCTCGACTTCCAAAGTTAAGACTTAAACTAGCAGCAGACGTTAGATGTGAGGCCCCGTGTATTTGAAGCCACCTGCCTGACGAGATGACGTTCACAAAAATCTGTGACCACCTTCTATTACATGATGGTTTTAACCATCTGGTGTCTGGTTTGTCATCCATCTTGCACCTTGGTGTTGATGATATTCTAGTTTTGCCCGTCTGCACTTTGTAATTCTATCATCACTGTTACCATTATTATTATCAGTAGTAATAGTAGTGTTTTTATCTGGGGGGAGTGTGTGCGTACCTGGGGTTGGTAAGGTTGTAAAAGCTCTTCCAGATCTGCAGCATGTGTTTACAGGTGAGCAGAGCTTCTTCGGGTCCTCTACACATAGCCTCCAGCTTCACCTTGGTATACAACAGACTACACAGACACACACAAACTCACAATCAGCCTGATCCAGCTAAATTAAAAAACAAAACAAAAAAAACCTCAGTGTGAGGTCTGTGAGCTCACTTGAAGTTTTCAGGGTACTCGGAGAGAGCCATCTCTATGATATTGAGAGCATCGTGGTAGTGTTTCTGGGCAGAGAGAAGCAGGGCCAGCAGGTGAAGGGAGTGGACGTCATCTCCTTGAAGCTGCAGTGCCTGCCGAACATAGCCTAGCGCCTCGGGGATCTACACACATACACACACATATGTACACAAACTACAGGTTTTCACAACATTTGGGAAAAAAGGACTTTGTTAAATATGTGCAACTCCTTGGAGTTTTGATTTTGGACGTCTGCCTTTAGTGTCACAAACACTTGTGTTGATTTTCTCTTGCATTACCTGTCTGGACACGGCAAGCTGCAGCGCCAAGTAGAAGGCTGCCAAATGGTCAGTTGGAGACAGACTCTGAGCTCTACAGATGAGAAGAGAAAGGAGATGTTGTGTTCAAGAGGCAGCAAATAAAAAATTAAATAAGGTTAGATAAAACTTTAAAGATCCCAGTGGAAAAATAAGGTCAGCGCTGCAGCAAGACGGATGGAAAAGGGAAGCAAATGCTGACCATATTTATGGGAATAAATAATGTCAAAGCCAAACACTGCGCACAGATTAGTCATAGCACAAGCACGAAGGTTCAAATGAGTCAAAAGCATAATGTAATGGTTTGGCAGGGTGGTAAGTTTAAAGTGTAGAAAAGAAAACAGAGCATCATAGCTCAGTCCGAACCTCTGGAAGGCTCCCAAAGCTTTCCTCTGGTATTCCTCCTGTGTGCTCCGCAATGACGCTAAAGACATGCAGAGACACAAACACACCGATAGGTTTTACAGTAACACTGATTATGAATCACTGCAGCTTTTTGCACACTTCTTTTCATACTGCAAAAACATCCGGGCCAGAAACAGAAACAGATGATGCATCGCCTCATGTAAGCAAGCGCTCTATAGCGATCTGCCATCATACTCATCACAAACAAAAAGAGTCCCTTGACAACACACATACCCAAAAGCAAAACCACTTGAAAAGTGGCTGAAAACTCAAGGTGAATGATTTTAAATGAGGAGAGAACTCATGGCTTCAACATAGACTTAAAGAACTATGACTCACACTTCCCTTACTTTGAATTTACTCAGAGTGAGCAAAGGTGCGATAAATTTGCAACCGTGCACAGTATACAACAGGGGTGTCAAACACAAGGACCACTGGACTGTGAAGTAGGGTAAAAATTTTGGACTTTTAACGGTGTTTTTATAAATTTTAAAGCCTGTGCTAGTGCTAAAGACCTCCTACACAGCTATTTGTACAACACAAAACTTGTGAAGCAATAGACAAACAACTAAATGACAACGTGTCCACAGGAAAATAAATAAAATATGGCATTTTCTGGCAATTAACAAAAGCCTTCCGCTTTCTAATTACAGGACAGTCTGGGCTCTGAGCTACCAGACCCTTTTCTGTATTTTTACACATTTCTTACAATTTAAGCCCAAAGAGTCGTGCCGACACACTCCTTTCATTTAAATAGAGCAGTGAGGTGTGGTGCTTAAACTGCACTTCTTTTTCTTCTATAGAGATATCGCAGGGATTAAATGTGCAGTTAAACTTCTTTACACTGACAGAAAGACGATATTCACTGGTCTGGTCCACTAAAGATCAAAGTGTAATATGCATAAATAAATGTATAAAAAAGATGGAAGCAGCATCTGGGTCTGAAAAGTGAAGACCTTAAACCTGCATTCATTTTAATGGCCACCAGGGGGCAAAAAGAATTATGAACCCATAGAAACCTCATCGAAAACGGTCAGGACCTCGTAAACCTTGGTTTATGGCCTCAGTTGCTCATTTCAGGTCATACTGTCTAAACCATTAGGACCATTTTGTAAATTCTGGTCTGTTTAAGTGTTACAAAGGACGATTACACAGATATGATCATTGCAATGAGCGCCCAGTTTCATATACAGCTCCACCCCTTGCTTGTCATATTAAGTGGTTGAAAGTTGCTTGAACGGGAAAGAGCAGCATCGAGTTCACCGCGAAGAAGAAGGAGCTCAAAAACAAAAGAAAAGAAAAGAAAAAAAACCCCATCAAACATTTTCATTGTTATTGCTCAGTTTCACTTCACTACAAACAAAAATTCTTTGTGTTTGTGCTGTTGTTGGGCAATAGGTGTCATAACAGACAAACTAACAGGCTCAAAAACATCTCCCGACACTGGCCCCTGGTGACAGGTCTGCAGCTGAGAATTTTTAGCCACGCCCCTGCATACATGAAGTGCTGTGATGGATTTCTTAGAAGTCTTTTCATAGCCTGTTGCACATGAACTGAATTCCTGACCCTAAAATGACCCTACAATTTACATTTTTAAACAGTGTGAAATAGGGCATAGTAGGCAGCAGGGACAAATTGATGATGCACAACCATTTGAAAGCTGGAAAAAACAAAATCACAAAAAAGAGAAAGCCCTCCTGACCTGGGCTAGGCTGGAAAAAAACTCTGGTCCAAATCAGCCAATGAGTTTGCAAACTTGTAGCTTTTCCTGATTTCTTTTCACCCAGAAAAAAATAAAAATCTTGCTCACACGTTCGCACCAAGAAAATGACTCAGGAGATGGAACTTCTCCTGAACAGACTTACCATCAGTGGCTTTGAGGCTGTAAACCAAACCTATAGCCAAGTAGCCTTTGGCTCTGAATTCAGCTGCTTTCTCTCCCATGTCAATCACCATCTTTGCAAAGCACTCTCCTTCATCCAGCTGAATAATGACAGAGGGAAATTTATAGGAACAGAGAGAGAAAGTTAGACACTGGTGAACATGTTGGAGGCAGTTATATTAAGAACTAACAAACCGCCCTCACAGGGCAGCTCAGCTGTACGGTTCGCACCCAGTGGAGAGGTCCGATGCACAGCTTTACGGCCAGCAGCGGGATGGTGGGGTCATCGGGCTTCAGGCGGATACACTCCTTGAGAACCTTAACGGCACGAGCTGATTTGCCTGCTGCCATCAGCGACAAGGCGAGCTGATACCACAAGTGGAACTCCTCAAAGGCGAACTTCATGGCTCTCTCCAAACACTGAAAGATAGTACATTTTTCTGTTTTATTGGGATGTCTCTAGGCACCAACGTTTGTTGAGGAACAAAAGCAGTGAAAATACTATCCCCACAGTCACTGTGACTGCGGTCTACAGAGGGGTCATTCACCTCTGACAACATCTCATACTGCCCTCTCCTGCCCAAAGCTATGGTCAGCAGGTCATACACCACCGAGGCCGACTGCAGACTGATGATCCGATCGTTGTTGTGTTCAGGAATTCTGCTTAGGACGGCATCACGGTTGGCCTGAAACACACAAAAGCCCACGTATGCATAGGTGTGAATACGGAAAAACCAGCTCAGTGTTCTGGCATGGTTTACTCTGCAGAGAGTTTGTGCCTCACCATGGATTCACTGATGAGCAGCAGCAGCAATGCTTCTTCTGTGTTCTCCTGAGGGCAAAACAGACTGCGAGGAGAGGAACGCAGCGGGAGGCCGATGGAGTTGGACGAGGATGAGAGGGAGGGAAAAAAAAGGGAGGGAAAAGTGATGAGAACAAATTGGTGGAAAAGTACACTGGCAGCAGATTTAATCTGGTATCCACGCCGAGTGCTTTGCTTCTTACTTCTCTCCCGAGTACACTCGTGGGCGTCGGCTTAGGCTGTAGCTCTTGCTATGAGTGTGTCCTTGGCGTGTCGGATCGTCCAGGGGCGACACAACGGGTGGGTCTTCAAGAGGAGACCAGTAACTCTGTTCGCACATTCCTCTGAGCAAGATCTCTGCAAGCTGTCTGGCTATGGTCTGTACGAACACAACACTTGTATATTAACTTCTTATAGCACAGCACAGGCTTTAATCTGGACCCTTTCGTCATTAACGTACATCCTTATAAAAATTTACAACTATTGGATCTAACAGCCTGTCCTGGGATTCTTCCCAACAGACAGAGACAGACAGACGATACAGTTGTGGTGCAATTTGTGGAAGAAGTGACGTGTTTAAAGGAGTAATTTGACAATTTGGGAAATTTTTAAAGGTATTACTTGTTGCTAAGATGAGAAGAAGTTAAAGTCGGCTGCCACAGACAGAAAACAGGTGAAGCCTCTGCGTTGGGCTCTGTCATTTGTTTGTTGGGCAAGTGTTTGACTTTCAACTTTGGGGATGTGTAGATATAAATCATTTCAATTTTGGTGTCAGTGACCATTAGTTAACCTCACTATTGTTGTTAGAGGTCAGATTTAGAAACCGTTTTCCTTTTGAAGTACAAATCAAAAAAATCTGTGGACAGCAGTGCCGTGCAGTGTAAGTTCGCTCTCCTTCTGTCTACCACTCGCTGAGGCATAACTCTAACTTTGCTTCAAACATTCTCAGAGTCATCATTTCATGTGTCAGTGTAGGTGAAATGATAGCACGCCCATGAAAACTGAAGTTCTGGTGCACAAAATGTTTTCAGTTTGACTTCTGTCAGCTTAAATGTGCAACAACAGTTTGTTCTGTACTGTGAAGATGCAGCAGTTTGAACAGACAGTCTTAAAAAAAAACCAAGAACAAAATCTTACTTCTAGTACCTTAAAGTACCTATGAAGCAAACAATTATGTTCCCCAAAAATTCCAAGCTGTTCCCTTAAGTGTTAATAAACTGTTCCTCACCATTCGTAGGTTCTGGGTGGTTCTGGTCTCAATAGCCCGAAGAATCTCTCGAAACCTGCCCACACCTTGTGTCAGGTTGCTGCAATGATGGAGACAGGAAACAGGAAAGACAAAAAAAATATTACCAGCTGCTGAACGACACTGAGTCCAGTGCACATACTTGCCTAATTTTGTGTGTATTGGTTTTCTTTGACCACTTGAGTAGCTTTGCATGATTCAGAGTTCAAAATAATCCCAATTTTTCTGTTTATCTTCTGTCTGAAACAAGTTGATTTAGCTCAGTTTCATTGGCTTCCCCTCGGAAACAAACAGAAACCGTTAGATAAAGGTGTTGAATTAGGTTCCACTTACTTAGTTTATTCTGATTACATTTTGTAAAAGCAAGCCTATGCATGCACCAGAACACAACTGTTTAGGAGACCATACTGTTTGAAAATGGTGCAAATATAAACTCACTAATTTCAGACACTAATTTCCAGCTCCATGTTTTTATACTTTGACTCTGAATATCTTTGCATGACTATCAGTTTAAAATAATTCTGTTTTTATATTGTGGGGACTCTAAGTTTGAATTAAACCGTTTCAGCTCCACCAACCTTTTAACATTCCTCTGACTGGCTGCTACTGCTGCCACCAGCAGGTGGGCTTTCTGCTCACAGGCAACGTCATGTGACTGAGATTTCCATACTGGAAATCTTTAACCATCCAAACCATATCATCCCACATTTACATCATGCAAAGCCAAAAGCAGAAGAAACTCTCTACACAGGATGACCTAATTTTTTAAGCCTTTGGCCATACACATGACTGGAAAGTTAAAGAGTAACAGGCCTTATTTAAAGTCACATTCCAATATATACACACACACAATATATTTTTTATGGACATTTAATGCTGTGTGAGGCATTTTTTTTATGCTAGAAGCTTCAAATGAAACCATGTTATTCCTAGAAACTATGACAAGTTGCTGCGTGATGTCATATTTGTACCTGAGGCCAGACTTTAATATTTACAAAAACAGAGTATGTATACTGTCTACATATTTTTGGTTTGCTTCACAGCAAAAACAATCATTTAGCAATAAGTAAAAAGAAAGAAAAACAAAAAACAAAAAACAGAAACCCTGTAGGACAGAGACTATCATGAGGCGTCCAGCAGCTGCTGCAACACTGAAACCACCAGCAGCATCTAGCGCAACACCGCTGTGTGAACTGCTCTGAGCTCAACCGTGAACGTTACTTAACCATGTTCACACTTTTTTTTTGCTTTTATTCCACCTGTCAGCAGCTCTGTAACACCACAACTGCTGAATGAGTGAAGAATGCCCACAGAGGGCTGCTAAGGTTTAAGAAAAAGAAAAAAGAAAAAGAAAAAAAAAAAACATCAGCAAGAGCCAGAGAGGTAAAAACTTTCCTGTCTGATCTCTCAGGTTCACCACCATGTGTTCCCCACCCCCCTTACCCATTCTTGAAGTGGATGACATGGGCTCTCTGAAGGCCCGTCTCTAGGAAGTAGCCCAGCTCCTGGTCCTGAGCTGTCGGACCAGGCTTTGGACTGCGGTTCTGAATCCCTGCTGACAACGCCTATGCAACAAACAACAAAAAGAACGAGAAGTTTACTCAACCCCTCCTAACCTGAATCAATAAGACTTATTTTAATCTCAGGCGGCTCTGCATTTAAAAAACAGACACGATTCTGCAGTGGAAATCACTGCATGACTTTTAACTGTTTACTTCTATTGATTTTTACTTTGATTTTTCAACCTCCGCTTTATTTGATTTGATTTTGTCCCTCAGTGAATATTAAACTTCCACAACCATCGTTCCCGTTGCAGAATTCTTCCACAAATTTCAATTCAGGATTATTCAAGTTCCATGTCTCTCTCTTATAATGTCTGTTTTTAGTAAATGACTTCAGGTGCTAAACTGGCTCATTGGCAGTCCAAAAATTGACACCTGCCGGAAATATATTGTGTGTCACAAAGACACAATATATGACAAAGAATCTGATATCAGGCTATATCGAAAAACTAAATGTGGTTACTAAATACTTCCTTTTACGGTCTTTTTGGACGTAATTAAACAAGCTTGAAACAACTTCTTGAGGAGCAGTCAAATTTTAACATTTAACTTTCAGGGTCAGAGGAGTCCACGTTTAAGGAAACGTAACGGTGTTAAAAATACCGGACCACTCCTGAAAGACTATTGACATTGTGCTTTTCTCCTTTTGAAAACGATCAAATAAGCAAGTGAACAGTCAAACCTGGTACTGCAGCATTTGCTCTCTCTCCTTTTTGATTATTAACTCTCTTTTTATTTCGGAGTTTTTAAAATGTTTAAAGACGTGCAAACCACCAGACAACAAAAGACAGATAAGGTAGTTTTGGAAAACAATAATTAAAAACAAAAAATCTCTTATAACTATATATTATATATACATATATACACAAAAGGTGGAGGAAATTAGTCTGAAAGCTGCTTTGCATACTTTTGAATATAAACTAGAATACAGTAAAATACTTTAAGGATCAGGGAGTGCATTATAAGAGGACTGCACACCAGGAGAGATAAAGAGATTATTTTGGAGGGAAAAAAATGTTCCTTTAGTTCATTCCCTTAAGAGTTTCATCTCTGTGATTTGATGAATGTACCCACTGTTCCCAGTGTTGTTGTTTAAAGAAAAAAGTATATTTCCATGCTGTACAGCCCCTCAACTCTAAAACACTAATAAGAAAGATGTTAAAAGATAAGCTATGCAAGTTTCTGGTATTAGAGTCTCAACAAACAATCAAATATCTCCCGTTTCAGCATTTGATGAGCTGCTTTTCTGCTTTAAAATAAACAGAAGGTTTTCCCATCTATGTCTTAAATACATTATCATGACATTGTTAAAGTATTCCTTAACTAGCACCTGTAATATTGCACACGTTTTGTTGAATTTCTCAGAAGTATCACTACATCCAGGTTGGAATATTTGAGCTGCATCCTTCTCAGTTTTACTGCAGTTTGCTCAGCCTGTGCTCTCGGCAAATAAAGACGAAGAGATTTGTTTGTCAGTTGGCCGTCGAGGGCGGTGGCGCATCAGTCAAACTCGAACGCAGTCAGCAGGATGTTCATCACACGCCCATAAGGACAGTGAAAAACAACAACACGCAGAGAAAACGCTGCACTCTGTGAAGCCATCACAGCCTGACAACACACCTTCTCGGCCTCCTGCAGATAGAGCAAAGCAATGTCTCCAGACTTTTCGTAGCAGGTGATGATCTCCTGCTCCCGCTCGGTCATGCTCCTGTTGGACGCCGGAGACCCGGCGTTCTTATTGGATAGAGACGGTGAAGCAGCTGGGACTTTCTCTAGGCACAAACCTGAGGAAGAAAGAGAGAAGAAGAAACATGGTGTGACTGGGAGACATTTTGCCCTATTTGACACCATCACCTACTGTCACTGATGAATGTTTTCCCAGATGAAATCAGTTAAACACATTCAAAGACAAACAGTGCAGTCTGCGGCTTCTTTTTACATCTGTGGCACTGCACTGCCACCGTGTGGAGAGAAGAGGTGCTGCAGAGATTAGTGCTGATTAGCTTGATGACAGTTTAAGTGAGGTTAAGGAGGACACAAACAAGGACTGTGTATACCTTTAGTCGCATAAGACTCTGCTATCATAGACAGCCTGTACACAGGAGCTCCAGCCAGCTGCATGTCGTCCAGGTTCACCTTGCTGTAGTGCCCTGTCAAATCACGAATTATGTATTATAAACTGACCTACTTATTCACTAAAATGAGGGGGAAAAAATATTGAATATGAGAAATGTGTGTCACCTAAAGCATCTTTGTATTCTCCCTCCACATAGCACAGTTTGGCCATTAACAGGCTAGCTTCCTGGATGTAATCCGGCTAGAAGAGAGGAACAAATGAATAAATAAATAAATAATAAAGGATGTCTCTATGTTCGGAGTTTTGATTTTCAGCCCAGTGGTTACCTTCAGGTTTCCTCTGTCCAGAGCAGCAGTGAGATGCTTCCTGACCTCCAGCAGTTTTGGCCGTTGGACCCTGGGACTTGTACCTTGCTTGATGGGATTCTCCTTCAGGTACGTCTGCAGCTTACATTCACCCAACAGCAGCTCGCCCAGGTCATCTGGAACAATCAGGAGGTCAGAGCAACCATGACATCAAATCCTCTTGTCCTCATCCAGCATGTCTCCAACATTTTGAGAGCTTACAGTTGATCTATTATGCTCATGAGCATGAGACCCAGTTCAAAAAAATCCTTATTTGTCTTACACTAGGTTTCTCCCTAACCTGCCTATTTCTGGTTGCTTGGTGTGCAGTTTGCATGTTCTCCTTGGATACTCACCTGTAAAGGTGTGCCATTTTCATTCATTATTTGCCTTATGACTTTAAGGCCTAATGCAGGGTGAACACCTGGTTAAAGTTCTCTCTCAACCACCTGAGTTTGTCAATGAGGCATTAACATCAATGCAGTACATGCAGTGCCTTCATCTACTTTATCCTTTGATCTAAGCTTCCTATAGCCAAGCTGTCGCTACAGCCACATGCCAACAATGGCAAACCCTGTAACCTGTGTACGCTCACGCAAAATATCTGCCAAGCAACATGGACTTAATTTAATGCCATAAAAGTATGCAAAGAAGTAACACAGAAGAAAATATGGACGTAACAGGGGCTCAAAACACCCCGAGTGTAAATTATGATGCATGAACTGAGGCTTAATGGTTATTCAGAAACTACTCAGGGTTACAGTGAGAATGGCAAATCTGCACACGGAGAAACACTGCTTTGTTTGCACACATACCAGACAGAATTATGCACTCCGGGCTCTGATCTGAATATCTTCACTAATGACTCCAAAACAAACAAAAAAGGTGCTGGATAAAAATGCAAAAATGTGGAGACCAAACCTGTGTTTAAAGTGATAGTTGCTACTTCCTTCTTTTGTATACTATCAGTGGTGATTCCCCAAATCCACATCTAGTCTACAGTGGACTTGAATTTAGGTCTTGAATTTAGGTCTTGAATTTACTAGGTACTTACGAAACATCCTGAGGCTTCAGGTCATCATGAACAGACTTTTATGCTCTGTTATACAAAAACAATCTGGTGTTCACTAAAGGGGTTGTAGCTTAAACAAAGGCCAATTATGGCTTTTCATATACGTGAAATTGAATTTAACAAAGCTTGTTTTATTTTGTTTACTAAGTGGCCAAAATAATTACAGGAAAATGCCTCCGCTTCTTTTAACTTCACTGATGATATCACTGCAATAAGTCTTGTCTGTGACAGGAAGGGAATCTGCATACTGGAGTGAGGAACAGCAGCTGATGAGGTGGTGAAAAGACAACAGTTGGACCTTCGACACATCTCAAACTAAAGAGCTTACTGTTGACTCTAAAAGGGAAATAGTTCAACATCTCTCCTTTTCCACCACTGGCCATGTTGTTGGAGAGGGTCTCGTCCTTCCGCTTCCTGGGCAGCACTATACATCAATAGTTATCAAGGGACATGAACACCACTGTCATTGTTAGTAAAGCCCACCAAGACAGCTAAGCACAACCAATCAGGACAAACAACAGCTTGAAAAAGCAGTGCATATAGCTCTCAAGATCATTGGATGCAGTCTATTTTCCACAGCTTCACACTATACCACCACTGACCTTGCCTAATCTGCAAATCACCTATTCAGTCTTCTCCCATCAGGCAGAAGATACAGGTTTACTGGGATTCTGTTTACAGTTGTATTTGTTTTTACAGTTATACTTACTCTTCACTACTATATTTTAGTTGTTTTTAATTGAAACAACAGTTTTAATTTTTTTAGTTAAGGTGTTTTTACAGAGTTCCTGCTTTATTGTCTGCTTCTTTCAAATCTCACAATAAATCTCTCTCATTTCCAGTTTCATATCCTTTACAGATGCAATGATACAAGTTTAAAAAAAAATAAACCAACGTTTCCTTGTGTAACAATAATGATGTTTAAACATAAAAGCTAAGCACATTTAAATTGCATGACAAAGGTTGGCATATAAATGAGTTTGATTATAGTTCTGTTAAAGTAGTTTACATCTCTCATCTTATTTTCATTTCATTCAAATGTCATTAAGAAAAGTGAGAAAGTCCTTCTTGCATGTAACTTTTATAATAACCAAAAAAATAAAAATAAGAATTTAAAAAAAAGTCTGTCGTGAGCAACACATCAGCCTTGCTTAACTCGTTTTATCTTTTAAACTAAAATATCACACTGTCGTTTACTGATACCCTGAGAAAGCGGTTTGACAGCTAGCACGTATTGTAGCTATCTTAGCCAACCAGAGAGAATTTGAAAAACTACCACATTTAAATATCTAGTGGTTTCAGCAAACGCATGGCCGTCATTAAATAAATGTTAAGGGGTACAGCTTAGAACTATAACCTTCTGGAAAATTCGGCACAAATAAAAATTGGCAGAGGTCATATTAATTTATTAAAGTATCGAGTAAGTACCCCGATAGCGCCCCAAATCGGTTTAACTGGTGGCAAGGGGACAGTGAGCTGAAAAGATAAATAGATAAATAAAAAATGTGAGATAAATCTGTCGTTTTACTCTAGCGATGTTTCTTTAAGTACAATTCATAAAACGTTATTGATCCTCCACACTAGTCAAACACATCCAACGTTAAATGGATACATTTCTGAATGAAGTTCTGCGTGACAGGAAACTGAGCTGTCAGAACATAGGAACTCAATCACAGCAGCGAAAACTGTTCACATCTTTAAACTCAAACCTTCCTAAAGTTGAACAAAGACCTGTCACATCTTTCTTAAGTCTTTACGAGGTAACTGGCTCTAAGCAGAGGCGACAACTCCCAGCATCGGCTGCCTCTGCCAGGAAGTAGCGAGGACTGAGGCCAGGGAGGAGGCCCCATACACTGGATGAACGAACAGCGGAGAAACCCGGCACACTTCCTACCGTTTGATATCAGCTTAGCCGAGAGCTGTCGCACCAACTCTGGAATCTTGTCCCACTGGGCCTCCGAGCGGCATCGCTCTATCTCTATCTCCAGTCGTGAACCAGACTTCCTCGCTGTCATCTTGGCGAGTGAGGAGCAGCGCCAACTGGACCAAAACACCACCGGAGGAGCAAGCTAACGCTGGGTGAACCCCAGCATCCGGTCCCCACTTTCAAAATAAGACACACTAATTGTTTTATGACTATAACAATGAAATAAAACACTGGTTGATTAAACTTAGCTGTTATTTTGGCTCTTTGAGTACTGTCGGTGCCATTTGATCACGCAGAAGAACAATTAAAATGTACCTTTAATGTTGTAAAACATTTATTATGAAGCAATCAGAAAGGAAATTTGTTTTTCCTGACGATAATAGGAAGTAGCCCTCAGAAACACGGTGAGGTGTAAGTAGGTGTAATGGCAGATTTGTCGTTGTATTTGGCGAATGTCAATGTTACATTGGGACAAACTATGGAAACTGAAAAGGTTAGTTGATGCTAATAAAATGTTTACTATTTTCTCTTTATGTGACAGCTCATATAAAGATTTGTAGTATTAATAGTTAACTACTTCCTTAGCAACGAAGCTAACGGGCAACAAAAACAAAGCAACTGAAGTCACTTAAACTCTCTAACCAGTACTTTGATGTCGCGAGTTGTATTTTGTGTGCAGTCAGCTCTTAGAAAAACACATTAGACCACTTTTATTTTTGTACCTGTAAGGGTTTTATATAAACAGCAATTTAAAGCCCGATGAGTGCTGGATTTTAGGAAAAGAAGATACTGATATTGTTGTCAATATTTTTACATACATCCCCACTAATCCCAAAAATGTGATTCTGTTCATCTGGACGTATCGTTTTGGATACTCGTCCAAGTGACTTCTTCAGTCTCAGAATCACAGAATCAGCTTTTTGGGATTTCCTTACCTGGATGATTGAGCATGCATCATGACATCCCCACTAATGTTTGGTTAAATGTCCCTTAGTAAGTTGCACCTTGACCAGATGCTTTTGTTAGTCATAAACAAGCTTCTTGCATAATTTGTTGGATATTTGACCACTCATCTTGGAAAAATTAGTAGAGTTCATTTAAATTGGTTGGTTTCTTGGCACAGACCTGGCTTTTAAACATTGTTCCCAAAGTTTCAAGGAGTTTAGGTCAGAGCTTTGGGAGGGCTATTCCCATTCCGAACCCAGTTTATATGTGGTTTGGGTGTCATTCTCCATCTTTGTCCAGATTTCAACTGTTGATTTGAGGTCAAGTTGAAGAATTTGGAGGTAGTCCAAATGTACCAGTACCACTAGCAGCAAAATGGTCACATCACTATCATCCTTCACTGGCTACCTGTTGGATATAAAATACATTTTAAAATTATATAAATTACTTTTAAATCAAATCCCAGGCCTCAATCCTACTTCATGAACTGATCTGCTACCTGTTTTTTACATTAGGCCTGAAATTGAGCATTTTCTACTCTAATAAAAGCTTTTACTTCAGTAAATTCTTCTATCAATTCTTTATTGACTTATATATGTGTTTTATTAAAAATATCATTAGTAATACAGTTTCAAATTATCACCAGAGTACAGGAGGGGAAGCAGAATTTGATACTGTGGAGATGGGGGACCCCGTGGGAACGCCAAGGAAGGTGAAGGTTCCTCGCAGAACCATTTACTTTGCCAATGGAGAGACCATGGAGGAGTACAGCACTGATGAAGAGGAGGAAGAGGAGCAGACTGCAAAGAAAGAAGTTATTTCTGTAGACCCGGTATGCTACTGGCACAGCAAGAGTCGAATAGCAACAATCAATTAGGTTTTTCAAGGATTTTTGAGCCCGTAGTTTGAGTTTTTAAGTCCCACAGCTGAAGTGTACAGCTTCCTGGTGAACACAGTAGACCAGCAGGTTAAGATACAAAACTGAGAAACTATATTATGTTTCAGTCATTTGGAACTGCAGTGTTTCTTTATACTTCTTTGTGTTTCCAAATATAAAAGAGGAAGAAAGTTGAGCTTATATTGAAGGGAAATTCAGCTAATATTGTTTGTTCCAGTCAGAGGATGAACTCAGTTGGAAGGCCCAGTATGAGATACTGTACAGATTGTTATGACTTGTGAATACTAATATAGTCCAAGAAGAAAAAGATGCACCTGAAACACTGATACACATAATACGTGCATTTTTAAAATGTTTCAACATGCTTCTTGAGATTTATTTATTTTTTAATCATATCTCATGTCCACTTGCCTGTTTTAGTCCAAACTGACCTGGGGTCCTTACTTCTGGTTCCAAATGTGGAGGATGGCCACCTCCACTGTATCAGGTAAAACTACATTGTAAAATTACTCATAAAACACCAGCCGTTGCAGGTTGAAAATACATTCTAATACCAGAGAAATTTAAATAAAAGTAGAAAATGGAAGCTAGAAGGTTTGCCTGGTGTCATCGCTACATTAAGGCTCTTTAGAGCCTTTCAGGGAGTTTTAAAAATAGCTTTTTGAAGTGGGAATATCAGGAAATGTTATAAATACTTTAGAAAACCTGAAATGAAATGCATATTTCACAAATTGTTTTATAATTATTGTATTTTAAACATTTTTTAAGTGTTTAGAAGATGTCTCTAATTTGTGGGTTTTTTGGTTTTGTTTTGTTTTTTTTGCAGTTTGTGACTACATGGGAGAGAAACTGGCCTCTCTCTTTGGCATCACTACACCTAAGTACCAGTATGCCATAGATGAGTACTACCGTATAAAGAAAGAGGTACAACACCATGTCACAGCTTAAAAGCTGCTTACTCAAATGGAGGAGCAAAAACATTAACATTAATCTGGCTCACTGTTGCTTTCCTGCAGGAGGAGGAAGAGGAGGAGGAGAATCGTCTGGCAGAGGAGGCGGAGCATCAGTTTGGGGAGCAACAGAGAGGCAAGCGGGGCGATCCCACAGCTCCTCGTCTGGCTACGGTGGAGCAGCCTGAGGTGTCTCCGGCCTCCTTTGTTAACATCAGCTTCGAGCTCGAGCCTGAGCCTCCTCTCAGCAACCAAGACCCCAACAGAGTCCCGTCTCCTCTCCCCTCCTGAAGAGTGACGGTGGCAGACAGAAACCTCCAAAACACACACACACTTCTGTTAGCTGACAACCCGTTAATCTACCCAGCTATGTAAACTAATAGTTTTGTTATTTTTTTTACATTTTTTTTTTATTTTATAAAGGAAGATCTTGGAGTGCAGGGAAACATAAAAAGGGCTGGAGATGGCTGCACTAGCCTGACTTGTGAATGTATATCTGTGTTTGGCAGGGACTGATATATGTACTTAGGCTGTTAAACAGGGTCTAGGTTCAGCTCACTTTAAAATGATGAAGTAGATCCTCAAGGCAACAGTCAATTATTAATTACAGACTGGTGTGAAAATCCATCCAGAACTGGACAAAAATAAGAGAGAGAGTTGGTCCTACCCCCTCTGCTAAACAGAAACATGTTATGTTCTAGTTGTTGCCTCACTGATATGCCAATGAAGAGATTGAGTAGTTTTGCACTCTTATCCAGTTCAGCCTGTCTTTGCTGCACTGTCATCTCTGGACAGGCTTCAGAAAAAGCCTTAACATGTTTATTGAAGACAAACCGATAGACCTTATATATTAACTTATTCTTATAGGACTGTGTATTAATATTTTGGGTTTTCAAGGTTAGAAGTAGTTACAAAATGAAGACTAAAGAGTTTCAGTACATGTTATATAGTCTGTTAATCAGTCTCTTAGATGTTTATGAGTGAATCGTGACCCTTCACCTTTGCATGCTTACCTCATTCATACTTGATCTTTCCTGCCGCGGTGTTTTGATTCATAAAAGATGCTCGGTGTAAAAATAAAAAACGTCAAATTTGTGCACATAGCTCTGTTTACACACCTGTGTTGTTTTGGTGTGAGATGCCCAATTTTCGAGGTATCTGATGCAAAGATGTCTGCCTCTCTGACGTTACTGCCGAACCGCCAACCATAACTCTCCAGTTACCCGTCACCAGAGGCTCAAGATAGCGTGAAATGTAAATGCTCTCAGCTGAGCAGTACCAAGCTGGCTGAGCTCAGCTGCACTGTTATTTTCACTGGTGAATGTAGAAAGTACAAAGAAAAAGAGTTCCTAAATGAAACAGCTTGCATTTCATCCTGGGTTTTTAATGTTTTTGTGATTTGATTATCATGAGAGGAGCGTCGTTTTAGTTCTTTATATAAAAGAGAAGGAAGACATTTCTACAGTCTTAAACAGAGCAATTTATAAAAAGCCAGACAGATCAGAGGAGTAATCCAAATGATTTGGGGGTAAACTGGCCGTTTAAGGAGGCACCTGCGCTGTTCACATATAGGCAGCCAGACAGATTATGGACCCAAATGGAAAAACCCAAATCAGGTCATCATGGGCAAAAACGTTTTTTAAAAGTGGAATTTTCAATGTCTTAGAGTAAAACAGATATATTTTCTTCTTCTCATCTGTCTAACAATGCCTCATTTTGGATCCCGCCAATTACTTCCTTGCATCTTTTCTTTACTCATTGCTGTCACATTGTTCATGAAACTCATGCACCACAGGCTTGGAGGTGTGTGCTAAAGACAACAAAGATTTAAATGCCTAAAAGCTAAATTAAAAAAGAATCAGGTCCCAGCTATGAACAAATTGTCCAAATCTCCTGCGTGGACCTAACCATTTTCTTTCATCCAAAAATCTTTACTACTTACAAGTGTTTTAATATATTTAAGCGCTCCATCGTCCACAATGTTTCACCTCTGGCCTCCATAACTGTGATGTTTAGTTATTTATTGACCTGATGCACATTTATTAATTTCTGAACAGCTTGTTTGAGTGTTACATTTCCCCATGCCCTAATGTTTCATTCATTATTTCTGTGCCGCTTAAAAATGAAGTCAGCTCCTTCCCTTTCTTGAGATGTCACAGTAATCAGCTGCGTTTCTATTTTGATGTTATTTACAGCCTCTTTACATAAAATCTAAAACCTTCCGACAGTTAAATCTGACTCTAGCACTAACTGATGCTCTACGCTGGTGTGAACAGTGGCTCGTGTATACTTCAATCTTTGAATGTCCTTGCTTGTGCCAGTCTAAGCCTCTTAGAAATTGTTTTAATCTTCTCTTTGGCTGTGACGTGTGATGGCAGGCTTCAGATCTCAGTTTGCAGAGTAGCAGCGCTTATAGTCAGAATCGGTCCACAAGCAGACTCCAATGAAATGCCAGCGTATCATAGCAAAAGATGTGTACACTTTGCAGTTAAATGTCTTTCACTGAGTATAAAGGATGTTTTTTCTCTATGTAAAGCAGGGTAACATATGCAAAATATTTTCTGATTTAAAGTGAAGCTTTTAATGAATCTTTATATTTCTATATTCTGTGTGTAAATAAAATCTTTAAATAATCAAAAGGGTGTTTTGTTTTGTTTTGAAAATTGTACAGTGTGACTTATTTCTTCTTTTATAGACAGTGCTGTGAAAAACTATCCCTGTGCCTGTGTGAAAAAGTAATTGTCACCTAAACCTGATCACTAGTTCTGCCACTCTTGGCAAGAACTGCAATCAAGTGTTCGTGTAACTGGCATTTCAGACACATTGGAAGGTTTTTAAACAGCCTGTTTAAGGTCATCTCTAATAATCTCATTCTTATTTAAACCCAGATTATGATTGGGTCACTCCATATTTCTTATTTTGGGTTTTTGAGTCAGTCAGAGGTGGGCTTGCTGGTCTGTTTCAGATCACTGTCATGCCACATAATCTGAGTGCGCTTGAGCTTCAGAGCATGAACTGATGGCTGAGCATTCAAGATTTTCTTGTTTCATCAATTACAGCAAACCAGATGTAACAGGACTGTAAAAGTTCTTTTGTCTCGGCCGTCCACAGAATATTTTCTCTAAAGCCATACTTCATTTTGTCAGACAGGTTATATTTGTCAAATTAACAGGTAATTTGTAATCAGGCCTGGGTGTGACGAATAACATTGAACTCAGCTTTGAAAAAAAGAAATTCTGATTAATTCATGACTAACATCACGACAAATATGCAGCAACTGTGTGATGCTGTCATGTCAGCATGGAATGTTTCCAGCATCTTGTTGAATCTACGCCACAGAGAATTACGGCAGTTCTGAAGGGAAAAGGGGTCCATTTATCATTTAATGTTTAATTTTACAAAAACATTAGTTCTAAAGAAAATCATAATTTAAAGTAGAAATTTAAAGGAGCATTTTTCACAAAACGTACAAAGGAAATCCAGTAAAAACAAAAAAAAGAGCCCACATGTAAATCAGAGGGAGTTACTACGAAGCTAATTTAATGAGCCAGCAGGTCTTTTTAACGGAGGATGCCAAAATTAAATGTAAACAAGCTACTCGATGTAAATTAACTGTCAATTAAAGAGAACAAATTATTACCAGGTGTTAGTAAAGCTGTGCTTATTTACCATTTTATAATATTTCCTTTTGATTTTTTAAATTTACTCCTATTCAATTTTATTCCCATTTGAACATTTTAAATTTTGTAAGGAAGAAGAAGCAGCAGCTTCCTCACAGGACCAGATGAAGAAAGCTATATTGAATTACCTTCGTAGTAAACCCACCTAGATTTCACAGGTAGGAGAAAAGATCAGTATTTACACAAAGATCAGCATTTGCACATTCCTCCTTTTTCCTTCAGAGTCTTCCAGCCTTCGAGGCCTTCACATGTGTGCGGGTGAGAAGGGTCAATGTCCTGCCATTTTTTGGGAGTAAAACATGAAATTCTCTTTACGTTTCAACCCCGAAACATCTTCATGTATCGTCAAAGTCAGCCATGCTGCTCCCGCCAACCCCGCCGCTGTCACTGTCGTTGGCGACCAGCACTTCTCTGTTCTCATAGGTCCAGAAACCGTTGAGGTCAATCAGGATGCTGACCACTGTGTCGCCCTGACAGCTGTTCACCAGGTCCTGCAGTGTGATCTTGAAGGGGTCTTTAGGCTTCACCATGTCAAAGATCTCATCCTAAAGAGAGAATTAAATGTTCAAAAGTATCGCCCACGGCCATTACGGCCACATAAGGTGCTGTTTGTCTGTGATGTACCTTTACATCCTGGAAGGAGACCGGCTCCTGTCCGTGCAGCTTGATCTGTTCCTGAATGGCCTGAAGAGAAAAAAAAACTGCTGAAAAATGATCAAGAAAGACTGAATGAAAAAAAACAAACAAACTGCTGAATCAATCCTTTTGATTTTGTTTCACGGAAGCGTGTGCAGCCGATACCCTAAAGAAGTAGTTGAGGGAGAAGACGTTGAGGTGTCCTTGATTCTCCATGTCCAAAAGTTTAAAGATGTACTGTAAAGCTGCTGGCTCCTTCCTGTTCTCCAGAGCCAAAACAAAGTCTAAATAGGTCTTATAGTCCTGGAAAAGAAAAGGAGAAACATTCAAGTCAGACAAATATTGAAATATTTAAACCACAGGAATGATGTTTTGGGAAGTAACACGTTGGTTTTTGGAGCCATATTTGGACAAGAGGGTGGAGTGAAGTTATGAGTTACTGCTTAGCCAGTCTGGTTAGATATTTGCTGATTAGTGCTAAATAACAAACTAATAAAATACTTGGATAGTCTGTTAATACAGTAAACTGCACAGTGAGGCAAATTATTCGTCAGTGCATTTAAAATGATTCAAAAAGGAACCACAGCACAAAATAGGTCCAGTTCAGTAACGAGAGCCAAAGAATAAAAACAGCATGTGAATAAGCCCAGCTTCAATTTGATGCAGTGAATCTTCAGCTCTATAACAACTGTGGTAATGAGGAAAAGAGGTACAAAGTTTTAAAGCGTTAATCATCCCTGTAAAGTATTTACAGACCTATAGAGGCTGTAAATATGCTTATTTTAATGTAAAGTTAGGCATTTAAACATGGGAGCCGTGGCCAGTATAGTAGATTTATAGCGACTGCTTTTAGACGTGCATGTGTGTTAGCTGCCTGAGGAGATCACACAGAGTTCACTCAGTCAGCAGCTCAGGATTAAATCTGTTTGCTTGAAGATGTGTGAGAAAGTCCTCACAGTCACCTGATCTCACCACCAAAAACATCTCTGCCACAGCAGTCAATACTCCAGCGGTTAATGTTATGGACCGTACCATTTCACCCTCGTAGGTAAGGCACTCCTGAAAGACTCTATCCAAAAACACAGAGGTGAGTGTGGCCGTGCCGTAACGTGAAAGCTCCTCTTTGCTCAACATGCCGTTGTGGTCCTTATCCAGGTTCAGGTACTGGCCTGTACAATTTAAAAACACAGATGTAAGCAACAGTACAGGTCACTGATACACAGACACATGCCACACAGAGCACTCTAACTTCACTGACCCAAAATTGGGCCTTTCACCAACATTCCTCTAAATACAGAGGAATACAATTACCACCGGTATCCTGCTGTGCAGATGTGTCCAGATGTTATCTCACCATAGACTCGGAGAGCCGACGGGGCCGAGAACCAGTTGGAGTCCTGACTCTCCTTAGACAACTCCTCGTCTCTCAGCTGGTGACAGAGAAAGGCGAAAAAGGATGACATCAATAAGAGGAAGAGTTGCTTAGGGTTCAATGTGAACATCCTATTGTTATTGGCATCCTATAACAGACTGTGTGTGATCAAGCAAGGAAAAATAAATAAATAAAAAATACCTCCAATAAGTCATCCAGAAAACTGCAGGCCAGGATGTCTTGGATTTTAATCTTTCCTGGAGAAAAGTAAGATAACTTAAAACAAAACAACAACAAAAAACCCACCAAACCAAAAAGCCAACACCTCCACAAAAAAGCCACAAATATTATGTGTGATAACCAAAATCAACCTTTTCTACACTCCTAACACAACCTAAACACAGGAAACATGGCAAATAGCTCCATATAAAGATCAAAATGATTATTTTTCCTTATATCTTGCGTATTGTAATTATTATTGTAATAACTGCAAAGCTGCAATAAGTTAGTCCTTACAGTGACCATCAGGCTCTGGTTTCAGAAATTTAGGATTAACAAATTTTTACTTTAAACTGAGATTAAACTTCAGCTGATCTTATATAATTAATGAGCTGTAAGATGACTGGTATAAAATAAAAAATTCCATCTGTGACAGGCATTTTCTTCTCAGTGTGACTGTGACAGTGACCCCACCCTGACAAATGACAGATCACAGACTTTTACATACCTAAAGCATCACACAGAGCAGTTTTATTTAAACACTGTTTTTTACAGTAATGTAAGGCAAATGTTTCAGTGCAGGGAAACTGACTGCAAACCTAACGGCTGCGTTACAGCAGCCTACAGATTTTATTCTGAGGAGATAATAATATTTTCTTTTCATTTCCAGATGACAGATTGATTATAAATGTTAAACAAAAGACACAAATCACTGATGCATAAATGGAGGAAATGAGTCAGCTGCTGCAGATACAGCTGGAGGGGAGGAGGCAGAAAGAAATCCTGCCAAGCAAGCAGGTTAGGTTCAGAGAGTTACTCAGACTTAAATCCAGAGTTTTCCTTATTTCAGGTTTAGCAAACCAACTCTATAATCTTTCAGCACTTGTCCTGGTTCATGCAAGTGTCTGTTATATGTCATATGTAGCACCATGGTCTTGGAGGAATGTTGTTTTGCTTGTGTACTGTACCACTGCACATGGCTTAAATGACATTAAAGGCACTTGACTTGACTTGCATGGTAATATGCCACGTTCTTTTGGGGTTTACTCTCACCTGTTCGGAGTGGGTCGAGGAAGAAGAAGAACTTGCGGACAGCGGTGCAGACGTAGAAAGAGTAGAAGGACTTCTCCAAGCCGTCCAGCTGAGGCAGAGTGGGGATCAGCTCCAGGATGTAATTTTCTAGATCCTACAAAGAATCAGAAGAATTACCATTTTGCTGCATTTATATTTTCACTTGAGATAAAACTATTTTGTTTTGTTTTAAAGTCACTTGAGCTGAACTTACAGACTCTCTGAGGTACCCCTGTCCAGCCACATCATACAGACTCAGGCCTATCCGGGTCTGATGCAGCCACACTGGATGTAGATGAGAAGGAACAGAAAACAGAAGGGTAAGTGAAAACTTTTTAATTTGCAATATTATTGTAGTATTTCTGAGCCCGCAACAGGATAGTTACAGTGGTGAAAAACACAAAAGAAACAATCTAAACCTAAAATCTTTTTTTTTCCCTTTCAGTAACTTAAAGCATAGTTTCAATAGCAAATTTGCACCAGTTTATTTTCTATGGCACAGAGTAAGAGAAACAAGCATTAGTACTATGGATGTTTGATTGCATTTTGGGTTATATCCTCATCTTGGATAGGTGGTTGGTGAAAAGAATTTATATTGTTTAGGAGGCTCTGTGGAAACAAAGCAGAGGAAAAAAGGTCCAAACCTTTCCTCATGACATAGTTGAAGAACTGCATGATGGAGATCCGCCCGTAAGGGTCACTGTGCAGCAGCTTGGCGTAAACTCTGGCTGTGAAGAATTTTCTGAAAGTAAGAAAGAAAAGAAAACAATTAAAACTTTACTCAAACATATTAATGGCTTCACGCCAAAATCTGTTTTCGCTCAACACAATCTTTCTGCTTCAGGCTCTGAGCGCGCTCACATTAAAGGTCACTCTTCCTTCGAAAGAGTCCCGTATTCTTATTTTTCATCACAAATTTCAGTAATTTGGATGCCTGCTGCCTTCGTTAGATGAGGTAGCTGTTTCTTAAGGACCAATTCCATGGACACCGTGATAGACATATAATGTAGCACCAAAAGTTGATAGGGCAGACATTTAAATGAAACAGTGATTGGGTTAAGGTTATCAAGATTGACCAAAGTGGCTGATGCACACCCTGGAGGGACACCTACATGGGTTTTGGGCCTGATAAATACCTGGAGGGTCAGTGATTGTTTACATGTATTAGCTCTGGAATTGCCTAATAATACATGCACAATCTGCGTGCACTTAGACCCACATGACTTAAACTTTGATGGGAGCATAGACTACTAACTATTACTACTACTAACTACATTTCCCATAGGTGTTTTGATATGCTGTTGATCAAGCCTAAGGGAAATGCTTTTTACTGACTTAACATCCTCTGTGATCAATATCTAACAATTAGACTGAATAAGTCCAGCAGTGTAATACAGACTTAAATGAATTTTAGGGTTGAGAACTTGTTATCACTCACTTGCACTTGCTCCCAGCCTTTTCCCCCACCTCCAGGTACGCTTCATAGTTGATCATGGCCTCTTCTCCAGTCAGTGGAGGCACCTGGTGCTTATCGAGCAGAAACCACAAATTCTGCAGAAAATAAAAGGAAACATAAGAAAAAACAAAGTTTGTGTTGCTTTACCTGCAGAAGAAGCAATGATATATTTGTGTGCGTTTTACCTGCAGTTCCTCATTATCAAGCAGCTCTCTGCTCTTCCTCTGGAGAAAGACAGCTCTGGATTCCTCTCTTAATTTCTGAAGCAATACTTCATCTTCTGCTGGCAGCTGCAGAAAAAAACCCAACATCTAGTGGTCATGTCCAAGCAACTACGCACAAGTTAAATAATTAGCATCACACTTTCCTCCCTTACCACTAATTAAATGATTAAATTGACTGGATGTAAAGGTCTGAATACAACTGTGTGTGAACTGTAACGTTTGCTTCTGGATGGCGTATGTAGACATTGGAAAGAAAATAGTTCCAAAACTAAGGTTTTTGTTTGACTTTTACAGATTTCATATGTTTTGAACTGATTTGATACCCTGTAGTAGAACCGTGGGATGGTCTTGTAGGAGCTGCCGCTGTTGCTTCCTCCTTTCCACTCGGTGTAATATTTGGAGAAAAGCTCCGTTTCTTCTGATTTATTTTCCTCTTCGCTCTTCTCGTCTTTGCCGGAGAAAAACATAATATAAAAACCAACTTAAATATTAACTATCCGGCAAAAGAACACTCTTATTAGTTAACTGATTACAAATCGATAGTGTACATTCAAGTTAGCCAGCTAAACACAGTTTACATTGTTTTACCTCTTTTGGAGTTTGCTAACCTCCTCTTAAGAATATCCGCCCAGTTAGGCTGCTGTTCGGTAGCCATCTCTGCTCCGGAGACAAGCTAACAGTGAGATTTCTTCATTTTAATAACGAATCTCCACTTGTAGTAAAAAATAGCCGTGTTACACAAACAACATCAAGCTAATAGCTGTAAAGGGAACTTTTTTCCGGTCAGTGCTTTTCAAAATAAAAGAGTAACGAGCAAGAAATGAATTTCCACCTCTTCAACCTGCTCCCTGTTAGTCCACACAGCGACTACTGCCTGACTTCAACCCGTTCATCGCCATCGCAAACAAGAAGAGACTCAATACTTATCCCGATTTAATCTCATATCTCCACAGTATGGCTCATTATCACTATTAACTCTATCACTCTGCATTTACTCCAGCTCTGCACATCGCCTATGTTCTTGAAAATTATCTGGACATAATATGATACAAAAGCTACATGTAAATAAAATAAATGTAAAAGTTAAATGAATATATAACTATAAAATATATAACTAAAATTATTCTCATGATCAATGGGTGATGACATTTCCTTTTTTATTTTGAAAAACCTGATACCTCACAAACGACGTTGTCTAATGTTGATGACGTCAGGTGTGCGACTCCATCCATGCCTTCTTGCTGGTGTGTTTTGTAGAGGGATATGAGCTGAATTTCCTCAGGCGCTATTTGTAGTTATTCGGATTTATGGACGAAACGAGAGCGCGAGAGAGCCTTTGAAGGGCGCGTAGAAACAGGAAGGTGAGCTTCTGGTGTCACCTGCAGGCTCATGTAATTCACGTCATGTGTCAGCTGTGTGCTTAGTTTGTGTATGAGAAATAAAACAGTTTAAATTTAAAGTGGGATTACAGCTGCTGTGCTCATAAATCATTCGCTATAATCATCCAAACATGGGCTCTACCTTCATACTGAAAGTCAGAACATCTCTAAAGTCCTCGCAGCTCTTTTTCCAACATGGACGTCCAGCTTTCTCCACATTACAGCCTCCCTGGGTTCTCTCTGTGTGCAGCAGAGAGCCCAGCCTCACCCTGGGTGTCAGACGGACACACAGAAGCAGCAGTGGACAAACTAAAGGGGAGGGTGGGGTTAGAAACAGCACCATCAGAAGCGGTGAAGAGGATGGTACAGTGAATGGAGGAGGAGATAAGAGGTCTGCTCCCCGGCAGAGGATCCATAAATCTGTGTTTGCTGCTGGAACGGCAAAGAGGACGGCGGATATACTGAGGAGGAGGGCGCCTCTGGTCTGTGAGTATAAGGATGAAGAGGAGCCTGAACGTAGGTCAGATAGGGGAGCAGGTGAGCATGCATCACCACCTCTCTTCAGATATTTAACAGCTCATGATGTGTTTGGATGACTATTTGGATGTTTTACAGGAAGGCTGCAGCCTCCTCAGCGACCGCTCCCTTCCAATGAGTGGAAGAAGCTGAAGGAGTCTCAGGGAAATCCACCTCGCTTTGAAATCCAAATGATGAAAGCTCTCTTCACCTCTGGGGGCGAGCTGGATGTTGCCAAGTAAGAGTTAAATGAAAGATTTAATTTGCCCTACGGTGATTAAACAGATACTGACTCTGGATGACTTCCAGTGGAGCTGTGAGGAACCTTAAAGGCATTTTAGATCAGTCGCTGTTCTAAAAGCTTCCTGAAAATCCTTCATTTAATCCAGAATGCTGCAGTGAGAGCATTAAAGGACTGAAAAAGCTCCATGTTACTTTCATTTAAAATCCTCCTCTTCAGGTCCCTGCTGACTTTTGTAGCCACGGAGACTGGCACACTGTCCTACGAGCTGCTACTGCGATACCTGACGCTGTGTGTGAGCAGCGGCCATGACGCTGAGGTGTTTGACGTCTATGACATCATGCGGGGAAGTTTCCCCTCTCTGGACACAGGAGCTTCCAGTCTTTTTATCAAAGCCTTCAGCCGGACGGCGAGGTGGAGGGAGGCTCTCAACATCCTGCAGGAGCTCAAGAAAGTAAGCGGTTTTTTTTTAGGAGAAAATTAAACTTATGAAAAGTATTTCAGTGAGGAAAAAAATGCACTTTTAGTTTAGGCCAGAATTCATTATGTGTGTTTGTCATTTGCTAAGCTAAATATTAACCTAAAAGTTGTTTTTCTGAGGCTTAAAATTAATTTCTTACACTTTTTCACTCCTTTTTTTCCTGTTTGTCTATACAAACCAATTAGCCATGCTTCTGTTCAGTTCTGATAAACTTATAAATGTTCAATCGTAAACTTTCTCAACCTGAACCAGCTTGCTCGTGGGGGGGTTCTATACTTTTGTGATTTTTCTCTATTTTCTTTGTGTTATTGTAGGGTCTTTACCTTAGAACGTAAAGCACCTTGATTCAAAGGTTGTCATTTATCATCTGCAGATGACGATGGTTGATTTCGTGATATTAGTGAGGTAGTTTTACATATTTCAGGTTGTTTCAAATGTGAGCGAGTTCACAGGTGAAGCTTGCTTTTCCTCCATAATCATCACCTGATTTTATTTACTAACAGACTTTTAGTCCATCACCACGCAACTATGGCGATGTCATCGCAGCGGCAATGCAGCACGGTGACACAAGCACTGCCTGGGCTCTTTATGATGAGCTAATTGACAATGGACTGAGTCCTCACCAGGAGACATGGGAGACTGTGTTTAAAGTGGCAGGGAAAAAGGAAGGAGAAGAGGGAACGAGTGCCATGTCACAGGCTGAACAGCAGGAGAGGCACCTGGGAATTCTGCTGCACATGAGGAACAACCAGATCTACCCTCAGCAGAGCCTCGCCAGCAGCATCAAGAGCTGGTTTGAGAGGTAGGACCGTGATAGGGAAGCACATGCATGCAAAACAAATCCTGTTTCTTAAAATGGGATTTTTTTTTTTTTAAAGCTTTGCTCCCCTGCATTTATTTTCAATGTGACGTGTATTAAAGGCAAACCTCAACATGTTGAACATAATCACTCTAGTGTATATTCTCCTTGTGCTCCTTCCCAAAATCAGCCTGACAGGACAGGAATGGACAGGCAGCTGGACGACCGCCACCCCAAAGTAATAAAAACCACTTCTGATGTATGTACGTACCTCCATTATGATAGTGTGTGTCATTTAAACATATATGTGTGTGTGCATGTGTTCAGGGGAGTATGTAGGAGTTGTGGGTCTGAGCTGGAGTCCATCCAGCTGACTGCTGAGGAGTACCAGCAGCTTAAAGACAGAGTGATGACAGACATCATTGAGGGACAAGATGTTTTCACCAACACGACTCCAGAGGTAAAACGCACACATACACACAGGGACCTTGAACTTTAATTTATTATCATTTATTGTTATATTTAAGTGACAAACAAACAGCTGTAAACATAAAGAAGCAGCCCGAAAAAAGAACATTCAAACATCCTGTAAGAGGGAGATGAGATTTTTCTTTGTACACCCCGTCACCACTAGGGGGAGTAGTGCTGCTGCCAGTTAGAGTGATTTAATGTGGGGGGAGGGGGGTGATCAGAGAGGCATTTCGTTTTGCTTGTGGTTGTTCCTTTCATATTCCACAAAGGTCTGTGTAGACTCTGTAAATAAGGCTGCAAAGATAGGTTAACCACTCCAGTATTTTTAATGCCATTATCTCAACCCGTGAATTAAGTATTCACGCAATTTAACATAAAGAGACACAAGTATGTTTTAAAAACTTAATACAAACCTAAATTTTTTTTTTCTTAATAATGTTTCCTTTCTTTCCTTTTTTCCGTTTGTCTCCTTTGACCTGTTACGTTCCTCCACCTCAGCTTTGCTGTTTTTGTTTCCTTTTGGTCGCTTTACTCTGTTTTTCTTTTACATTTGCTCATATTTTCTTTTCTACTCTTTTCTTCCTTTTCCTAGTTTTTTTAGTAGAAAATTAGAAAATGCTAATGTGCCACAATACACAAAATCTGTGTGAGTGTTTGTGAATGGTGTCATGTTGCCTAGCAACCACTTATCTTTGGGGCACAATGGTGTGTTTTTTGCAGTTGCGCACCCATAACACCTTATAAAACAGTTATACTGGTTTCATTTTACCGCAGTTTCTCATTTAGATCTGCAACACTTCTGTTATGCGTGATAAATTATGACCCCCATTGATGTTTTCTTTTTTCTAATTAAAAAAATAATAACAGTTCATTCATGTAGATGTTTGAAAAGTAAAGTAAAATATTGAAACTAGATTTTTATGGCGCACTAGTTTCTCAGCTGTTTTCTTGCTGTCTTTTGCTAGATGGCGTCATTGTTACACCGGCTGGCACATCAAGCTGGCAGAGTCTGAGCTGGTCAAAAGAATAGATCTGTGTTTCAAGTTTTATAGACATTCTTAGGTGCAGTGAGGCAGCTGTTTGTCCCCCTGGTTCCAAGACTTTATTGATTATTTCCCTAAGCTGGGGTATATGACTCTGTGGTTAACTATTAAAAATCAGAGGAGGATACAGTTCTGTTATCACCACATCCTTTGTGGTTTTCTGGCCTTTGCAGTTTTTTTTTTTAATGTTAATGGGACAGCCAGTCATCTGGAAGCTGTACTTTCAATTTCTGATTTATAGATAAGAATTACGTTAGATTATGCAAAACTTAAATCACAGCAGTTTTTTTGGCTTTATCCTGTAAATTTGGCCAAAATCAGACTCCAGACAATAAAAAATACATCGCAAAGGCCATTCTGCACCACAGAAGCAAGCACAAAGACTGTTAAAGTGAACATTTATTCTTAATGTGCAGGGAAAGTCAGTTGATTTTTGATCGGACCACAAATTAGCCCATACACTTTGCTCTAAAAGATTAAAAAAAAAAAAAAAAAAAAGGAAAATAACAAAAAGAAAACAAAAACCCATTTTTCCCAGTTTTAGACATGACATGAGGTCATGTAATCACTGTTTGTGACTGGGAGGGGCCACATCCTGCCGCCTCAGTAGAATATCCCTCCTAGCTAACACCGAACAGAATGATAGCACCTGTCTTTTAGAGGCCAGTAGAAACGCCTCATTCCCACTGATGCCAAACAGAATAAGAAGGGGACAAGGGGGCGGCGTCTCATTGAGAATCCTGGACAGGGTATGGAAAACCTCTGTTCAAAACTGAACAAGACTGGGACAAGACCAGTACATGTGGATCAGTGAGGCTTCAGCAGTTTTGCATCTGTCACAA